CCGTCAAAACAATCATGCCATGTATCATGCCCGTTTTCCTTATTCTGATTGATTGCATCTGAGGTAATCAATCTCTCTCTTTCTCTCTCTGTCTCTCACACACACCCCTATCTTTAATCTGTATTCTCCTTTAATTCAGTCTTCCCAATTTTGCTCTTGTTCCTAAAATAAAATCTCTTTCTACCAACCTCTTTTCATGCAATTTGTGGACCAAAAAGATATTGATTGGGGTATAATGCCACTGTACATGTTTTCAGAAGAAGGAAAGCCATCTGTTTTGGTATTAAATTTGTCCCAGTGAAAGAGTACTATAAATCTTTAAGTGCCGATCTCAAGGAAACATTAAAGAGAAGGAGAATTTACTTCCGATTTTCTACCTTTTTAATTGTTTGACTTTTTTTAACTTTGCCCGTATGTTATTTTCATAATATTTTTGCTTTATTTTTAAAATTATCCATATGGTGATAGGATTTATTTCAACTGGTTTTTTATTAAAGTCGACAGGTATTTAAATTTCAGTAATGAGACTATATGGATTATCTAGTGTCCAAACGGAATTATGGAAGTGGTATGTGCAAGTTCATTTCCTAGTTCTAGACTAATTGGTAAAGAATCATCTCCCATGGTATGAAGCCTAAATAGTTAATCCAATGTAAGAGTTAATCTAATATAAAATGTCAGATAATCCATTTTAATAAGCGGTGGCTGCTTGACTATAGAAAGCAAATATATGTGTATATATATGTATATACATATGTATAGTAAACATGGAGCCCTGGTGGCACAGTGGTTAAGAGCTCCACTGCTAACCAAAAGGTTGGCAGTTCAAAGCCACCAGTCGCTCCTTGAAAACCCTATGGGGCAGTTCTACTCTGTCCTGTCGGGTTGCTATGAGTCTGAATCGACTCGATGGCAATGGGTTGTTGTTGTTGCTATAGTCAACATATGCTTTATATATTGTATACACTAATTGCATTTTGTACTATATATTGATATATATAGAGAGAGATGCACATACCAGTAGCCCTTGAGTTTATTCTAACTCATGGCGACCCCATGTGTGTTAGAGTGGAACTGCGCTTCATAGGGTTTTCAATGGCTGAGTTTTTGCAAGTAGATCACCAGGCATTTTTTCTGAGGTGCTTCTGGGTGGACTCAAGCAGGCAACCTTTTGATTAGTAGCAGAGCCCTTAACTGTTTATGCCACCCAGAGACTCCATAATATATATAGTGAACATTATATTATATTTGCAGTTTCCAAATTTTACTATATTGTCTTTCCCCGTCATAGTGAAACTTTGATAATCTCTTCATCCCTTTCTATAATGCTATTAATATATAATTAATATAATAATAGTAATAGTTTTTCTGCAATCTTAAATAGAGGGTTTAATCAGCTTATCTGAATGCACACAATTTGCTTCTAATAGTGAACATGATCATATCTCTTGATTTGGATACAATGAATGGAGTATAGGAATAGTTTTTCTACTCCGACACTGCAGTGGACCATTGGCTATGTATATGCTGAGATTTTTTCTGTGCTTTAATGAGCTAGCCTTTATTTCTCTGGATGTACACCTAAGGAGTGCTTTGCAACCACACTTGATAAAATATACGCACAAACCAAACCCCCGGCAGAGATGGGAGGAGCTGGTGGGCTGAGTGCATCTCTGAGCCTCTCGGCATCATTTTTCCCATTTACAGCAGTTGTTTTCTAGGAGCATAGCTGCGTTGTGCCCTGCATGTCAGCGGATGAGCAGTAGTTCTCAGAGCTTATGGAAAGGATATGGATTAGTTTCTTTTTAAAGAAGGAAAAGGGTAGGGATGCAAGTTTACTGTTCCCAGCCTGTACTTGTTGCATTAAAAAAAAAAAGTAAGGTGTCAGAGGAAATTTTTGCATTAATTTAAGAGGCATTAGTTTTATTTTTCAAATCATTTTGTTTTAAAGTAACAGTTGAGTTTGCAGTTATTTATAAAATATAAGTTATTCATCAGTGTGAAATAGCTGTTTATTTCCTTTCCTTATTTACTCTTATCTAAAAAAAAAATACATTTGGTCTCCTAGCAAAATACAATCCATTTGCTAAGTTATTTGTCAGTTTCTATAAAATATGTTTAATACCACTGGGACAGAGGTTTAGAATAGTTGCAGGATTAGCAAGGGTGATGTGACATATAGTGCTTTTTTAAGCCATGGTGTGTTTGGTGTACTAACGATCATGAATTTATCTTACCCTTGTTTAACTACTAAGCAGAAAATGAACCTTCTCCTGTATTGTTCCATTCATATTCCTCTGCACTCATTTAGAAGTCTGACACTTCCTTTGGCTGACAGACTAAAGGGCCAGTGTGGGATCTTTTGATGATGTACAAAACAGCTTTCTTAGTCTAAGCTCCTTAGGCTATGGTGGCCACTCGGAAGCTGAAGTACCGTTCATTTACCCTAAAATTAACCAGAAACTTGGTCTTATGTTTCTTCCTGACAAGGTTAATAGGAACTTAATAGTTTAAAGGGGCTTTTTTTTCTTCTGTTATTTTTTAGTGTTGATAAAGGAAATATGCAAACATAAAAAATAAACCGCCCTAAAGAAAAGGAAATGTGTAAAACATAATGAAAAACACAGAATTGTGCTTTTTCTTTCTGGGTTAATCTATCAATCAATAAGTGTTAGATTGTGATGTTGATCATTTAATTTTGTGGCTTATCTAGCATTCCATTACAGTATATATTATTTCCTCCCTTATGAGAAAAACAGTGTTTATTATCACAGGTGACAAAACACAGAAGGGAAAAACAAGCAGAAAGGTTACGTTTAATCACGTTAAGCGGGTTCATTTTTGCTTTTTTGCTTTCATTCCCACACCAGAAGCCGGTCAGCCAAGTGGGAGAGTACAATTAACTTTCTCAGGTGCTCATCTCAGATCTCACCGAGAGGCCAGAGGGAACAGGTGCTGAGCAGATGAAAAGATAAACATCACGTCATTCTTAGTGATATTTAGCTAGAGAGCTAAAGAAGGCATTTTGAAACACCGTTGTATTGCTGTTCAAATATTTACTAATTGAACCTGGGAAGGAAGAAATTTTGTCCACCTAATGTAGAATTCCTTGTCCCTTTCCTTCTTTAAACACAGTCTCAGAGACCCACGAGAAGAGGGTAGTTTAAGAAAGAAATATGAGCCTTGATTATGGAGTTTCAGGTATACTTGATGTGGGCTTAATTAAGCAAACACAATATAGCAGTCTTGCATGTGGCAAAACATTCTTTTATGTTACTTGACTGTTTGTTTAGGAAATGACTAACCAGCTGGGTAGATTAGAGTGTTTACTACTAGATTTCTTTCATCCCTCACTGAGGCTCTGTTACCACTGGAGGTTAACCACGCCACAGTAAACGCAGGGAGGTTAGTGAGCATGAGACAGCCATTTAAAGAGAGACAGAAAGAATTAAGCAGGTATTTAGGACACAGTTTGTCTTTCAAATATTTGAACCTGGGTTGCTGCATCCTTTTTAGGTTTAGTATTATTATTTGCACATCTGTGAAGTTTAGAAGATTTTAAAAAGAGCCTTCTGCGCTGATCTTCCCATGAAAGGAGAAAAACTTACTAGAAATTACTCAGAAGGGATAGTACTTATGAAGATATTACCAACAGCTTTTATTTTACATTACGTGTATTTGACAGGTCTTTTTAATAAGTTATAAGTTTTTTGTTGTTGTTTTCTTTTCTTTGATTTTTAAGAGACTGCTGTGATTGTGATGACCAGGAGTGCTGAGAGCATTCATTCATTTAGGCTTATAGCTCAAGTAATAAATGAGTTGTTTCCTCTCTGGAGGCAGGGAGTTAATGAGAAACACAGATTAGGATCCAAGAACTATTCTCAGGTTAAGATAAGGTGTCCTAACAGAAAGCTTATGGTGAAATGAAAGATTGAGAGGATAATTATACTTCTCTTTTAAGTTTTTATGTGGCTATAAATAGTCACATTTCTGTACTCCATAAGCACTGTAATGTAATGTCATCATTATAATATTTAGTGATTAACCTATTCACACATTTGTTTAAACTTCCTTGAAAAAATATACATATGTAGTCCATATAAAGAAAAATTGCAGGGTGATTTTGTTTTTATTTTTATAGTTACTGGGTTTACATGTGAAAGTGATGGTTTGTGAAAGAAAAACAGAGCTTTCAATATCCTACTTTGGTTAGACTCTCTATAAAAAGCCTGTGTAACAGTGGGACAATCATAGCCCCAAGAACAAACCATCAGACCGTCTTGTTGTGGCATAAATTCAGCGTAGCTGGTCCTGGGCACCAGTCCCACGTGGGTATATTTTCAAAGCCAGTTGCTGGAACTGAAATGTGGCTGCAGTGCTTGAATCCCTTGGGGACACTTGGAAAACTTACCACCGTTTACAAATGACAAACCCTTAGGGTAAAGCACTGAGATTCTGAGAAACATAAGCTCTGTTTTATTTAATTTCCTCTCATTTACCAAGAGTTGTAATGTAATCTATTTTAGTAAATAAATTCAGGAAATTGGTAAAGCACTTTACTCCATCCGTTATTTATCAGTAATTAACATGATTGTCACGTTTTTCCTGGCTCTGGCGCTGCTGTATTGCTTACAGCTTCCCTCACATGCCTGCGACCAGTTTATAATGTCTCTGGTAATGGGTGTTTCTGAGTTTAAACTACTTAAACAAACAAAACAGCGTAGATATTTTTGCAGAGAAATACACTTCCTCTCCTTAACTTTAATAAATAAAAATTTCTAACTTTAGAAGTTTTCTCTGTTGAGTCTGATATTCTTTTCAAATCATCCTTTTCACCCATGACTACTTTACACTGGGATAGAATAAAAGAAATGATAATTCATGCAATGATATCAGTAGTCATCTCTCTCCTGCTTTAATCCTTTTTTTTTTTTTTCAAGTTGTTAAAATACACTTACTAGCTCCAGTTTTTCATAAAGTAAAACTCATTTTTTTCCTACCTTCATTAGCCACTGAGTGTTGTTTTCCATGATGTTCTCCAGTACTTGCAGTCTCTGCACCGAGTCATCATAATCTAGCGGTGCGTCCCTCTGTACTGCGTTCGATACGTAGGAGCTGGACGAGGAGCGGCAGCTGTCCATCTCCGGGAGGAGGAAAGTGTAGCTGCATGAGCCGTGCTGAACCTGATACTGCTTTTTCCCTATGCTGTCCATGCTTTTCCGAAAGTTGTTGTAGGCTGCCGCTAAGACAAGATCACAGCTCAAAGTAAAGAAAACAATCTGCCACATTCTTCCTTTTGGTGATAAACCACCAACTTAGCAAACTTGAGGGCACACAGAGTCCAGAATACTCAGCCGCCTCTAAAATGCAGGGTTATGCTGCCATGGCTTAAGGTTGATCAACGAGAGTCTTCTTTCTCCCCCTTGTCAAGTAGCAAACTTGATTTTTAATGCTGTCTTCTCTCCAGTCATCCAGCAAACTGAATCCAGTAGGAAGAATAATCCTGCTCACTATGTGAGCTTTACAGATCAGCTTTGTTTCTCTTTTCCCAGATTCTACAGTGTCAGTATCTGAATCAATCACTTTCCTTTCCTTATATGATAAGTTGATAAGAACAGCCAGACATGTGTAGCTGGCTGCTCCGCCCTCTGGCTTCTCCGTTATCTTCCTGCCGGGGGGTTACTAGCCAGGCAACAGGAAAAATCGGAGCATAATGCTTGCTGTCCAGCCAGGACTATACACTGCAGAAACCCTCTGGGAAAAACTGATCAGTTACAGGACCCCTGGGTATTTCATAGGCACCACCCTAATTAAGTATTTCCTAGAGAGAGCTGTCGGTCTCTTTTGTCTGAAACTGATTTCACGGTATTAAGCTGGTAAAATATCTGAGGTAATAACTTTAACTTTAAAGTACAATGAAAGTTCCTGTTTTTTCCTTTAGAAAAAAAAATACTACAAATATGTCAGGACTTTGGTTTATTTTTGTAATTAAAAATAAAGAGGAAGAAGTTTTGCTCTTACAAACTCTGTACCTTTTCATGAGGAAAATAGTTTTATTGGTAGTAGTTGATTTTTGAACTGTTAGCTAAGTATGCAAAATTTTTATTTTAAAAGTTTGTTAGGAAGACTTGCTTTATCATAATATATATGTTATTTACCATGATACATTGTTTGTCATGTTAGAAAGATCAATTTTTTAGCTCTGACATTATTTTAAAGAAATTAGCCACTTTAATATTTGAAATAAACTTAAAATATGCTAGACGGATGAATAGTTCATTAAATCACAATAGACGGAAATCAGAATTCGAATAGAGTGTTGAGAATACAAACAGAGGAATACGTAAACTTCTCCTTTATTATATCAGGATTTGCTCAAAGCCTGTCATTTTGTAACATATTCTCCAAGATCAATGAAATTAGTCCCACTAGGTGTTTGATTTAAGCAATCACTTCCCCATTCTAACAAAGCTCTAATGTTCTTATCTGTAAAATGCAGGGGTGGCACTAATATCCAAGATTTTTCTGTTTCAATTCTATGGCTCTGTAAATCCTACAGGTTATTCCCTTAATAACTGAAATTTAATACTTCAAAGATTAACAGTATGCTAACTCAGCAAAGTGTGTGCGTTTGTGTATATAGATATATAGCCTTAGCAATGACCTGTTATTTCTCAGTGTACAGTAAGTAGTAGACTATCTGGTACACTGACTTAATGGTCCACATTTAACCATGGAAGCCAAATATCAGTCTACAGCATTCAAGATAAATTTTCAGAGGATTAAAGAATTTTGCTCTTATTTCTTAGGTGAAAGTGGAATTTGTATAGTGAATTTTGTATTCTCGCAATCTGTTTTCAAGAGACCTAAATAGACCTTTTAAAAAAAAAAATCCATTCTGTTTAATAGGCTGACTTCCAGGTCTTCTAGAGAAGAGGTTTTTAACCTGAGGTCCAGAAAAGGAAAGAATTCATAGGGTCCATGAACTGGGCAAGGAAGAAAAAAATATCTTTATTTTTCACTAAGCTCAAACCAAAATTTAGCCTTTCCTTCTGGAACCCTGGTGGTGCATTGGCTAAGAGCTCAGCAGCTAACCAAAAGGTCAGCTGTTTAATGAGAAACTATTTGTTCTGTAAACCTTCATCTAAGGTACAAAAAAAAAAAAAAAAAGAATTATCTATGTGAGATCAAATTGACAACAACTCAAAAGGTTTGATAGGAAGCCTAGGG